ACAAGCAGCCTTTCCACACAGTGGCTGAGGGCCGGTGAGGGCTTCCGTGCAAAGACAAGGTGAGACGCCAGCAGGAAGCAGGCCGGCCTCTGTCTTAGACACAGCCGAATCGGGGACTAGCGTAGACATTTGAACTGTGTCGAGTTAAGTAACTGTGCTGTCGGGTTTTCAGTCCACTCGCTATGCTTTGCAGCCTCCTCATATGAAGAGTGGTGGTGACGTTTGCCTGAAAAGAGGCCCTGTCACTGAGCAGCGAGGTTCCCACGAGTGTATTTGGTGCCACAGCCACACTTGGCCTTTACAGGGTGCTCGGGGACGGCCCAGTGCCAGGGCTGGGGAGCTGGGGACTTCGCACTGCAGAGGGAGCTTAATGTTGCAATTACAGTGATTTTGTCTATCAAAAACTGAATGTTAACCGATCAGTAATTCTTGAATTAAGTTACCTTCACATTTTAGTTATGCTTTTCATACCAGTAGTTAATTAAAATAGCTTGCTATTGTTTTCCTCCTTTTAAATTTTTTTTTGAGAAGTCAGAAATTAAGCATTCCTCATTAGCATTTTTGCCGCAGAATACTTTGTGAATAATTTTATCTTGGAAAACTTGAGGAGAGAATTTGTTAAACAGTGAAGAAACTAGGTGAAGCTCAAGAAGAAGTAGGGCGGTCGGTGCGGGCCGGTGCTAAGCTAGCATCTCCTCCATCACTCAGTTTCCTAGCTGTTCTCTGGGGGCTGAAGTCGAAGCCACCAGGAAAGAAAGCAGGATTGTGCCGAGCAGTGGGCGACAGTCCCTGCTTCTCAGTTACAGGAAGCCTCCAGTTCTCTGAAGGGGACACTTCGAATGTGAGGGCACTCCACCTTCTTCTAATTTTGCCGTGAATTTAAAATGCCTCTCAAAGATGCGCTTTTTAAAAATAGTCAAAAGAAAAAACGTGTGCTTTCCATAGGTACCTTAATTTATACACAAGAACATGTTCGGTTTTTATGCTGTCCTGTTAATAACAGAATTATCCTGCCTCACAAATTGGTTCTGGGGCCTTTAATGTCCTCTCTCTCTTCCTCACTGTACTGGAAGTGGTGTCCGGTGACATGTTAGGAAGGATGAGATAAAGCTGCTCCCATTCACAGAGGATGTCTTTGTCCACAAAGAAAACACAACAAATCTATCTTGTTTAAAGTTCTTAGAAGGGCCGAGGATTTAGCTCAGTGGCACCCGAGCCTGCCTTGCAAGCACAAGGTCCTGAGTTCAATCCCTGGTACCAAAAAATAAAGTTCTTAGAACTGGCAAATTAAGCAAGGTTACAGAGTTCAAGGTCAGAATACAAAATTCACTTGAATCCTGGCAGTGAACAGCTGGGATTCCAGTTCTCCAATGTGTGCTATATACTGGCACCACCCAAAACTGAAGTATTTAAATCTGATAAAACATTTTCAGGATTTTTCTGGTAAAAACTTATGGAAAAAAACAACAGAAACCTAAACAAAAAGAGAGAGACACTGTATTCCTGCATTGGAAAACTACTTTTGAACTGCTTTCCCACTTGATCTGTAGAGTGTCAGCCCTAGTCGCAGCCCGGCAGGATTTCATTGTGGGCGTGGACCCACGCGCTCTGTTTTTGTTTGCTTTGTTTGTTGTTGTTTGAGGCAGTGCTAGGATTCACTCCGAGCTACATCCCCAACTCTCTCTTCAGTTTTTATTTGGAGACGAAGTCTCACTTGCCCAGGCAGAACTTGAATTTGCGACCCAACCCCACCTGCATAGACCAGAGCCTTTCTGAAGGAGAGGAACAAAGTTTGAGGCGCGGGTGTTAAAGGGATCCAGGTGAAGAGTAAATAAGAACTCTCTGTGGATTGTTTTTTATGACTCTTGTCAGACTAAAATTACCCGAAGTAAAATGCTTGAAGCTGAGGAGGATCACTGTTCCCGGCTTCCCTTTAGCAACAGCATCATTTTGTAGCATGAGCTCGCTGCAGCTCACCTGCCTCTCCTTGCCCAAGTGGGGCAGGGCGATGATGGGAAGGGAGAACACCATCTGTGTGCGCCTGGAGCGGAAGCAGCTGCACAGTCACCCTGCGCCGTGCAGAGTGGTTTCTTTCATAGCTATTCATCTAAAAGCCTACTGCAAGACGGTGCTTCGTGTGTGAATTCACCAACAGGTCTGGATTGATGAATGATTGTCAGATATCAGAAATACCATTCTTCTTATCTAATGTGTCACACGCAGGATGCTGAGAACTGTTGTAGTAGGTGCTAAAATAACTTTGTACACCCTTATTTTTGGTACCGGGGATTGAATTCTGGACTTTGCACTTGCAAGGCAGGTGGCGGAACCACTGAGCTAAATCCCCGACCACTTTGTACCCCTTTTAAAGACTAAGTAGAATTTAACCTACCTTCATGTGTCCCTACCCTTGCTTTATTTAGCTTCTCAGTTATTTTGAATGATCGAATATTTTATGGAAGTATGTTGGGTTAGTATTTTCTATGTGAGTTCATTACAACCCTGCCTCTGACCTTGCAAAGTAGATTTTCCCCATTCTGGACACGGGTAAGGTAAAGATAGCTTTGGCTAATGAAACTACTGAAGCACAGAGCTGACACTGTTTTCTCATTTGATGAATTTAATAAATTAGTATTTTCTGCTATCTTATGCAGCATTAATTCTGGGGGTGCCCACGTAAGTTAAATGTATAAATTTACTTATCAAAATTCTACTGTAGCTCTTTTCTTAACATTTAGAAAGGAACAAATTCAGAGGACTTGGGCTTTCTCCTCGAGGCTGTTTAAAGTCACTTGACATTTTAATGTGGGTTTATTTGAACTTCGGTGCCACCCGCTTTTTAAGGGTGGTTCTTGGCTTCTCTCACAGGCGCACCATGTTTCCTACCATACTGCTTCACATTGTCTCACGTCTGAAAATAGGCCTCATCTTGGAGCTTTGTGTACTAACTTCACTGTGAGCTTGTAGAGACACGTACATATTGATAGCCTGTCTGTGTCTCTCAACATGATCGTATACAGTGGCCAGTAAAAGTGAGGTAAACACTTTGTACTTACGTCTTTTTAACTACCACCCATAAAGAGCTAGAGAGAAACCTGGTTTGGGTATAAAGGTACCAATTTTCTAAAGCCTTGTTTTGCTGAACTCATTGACAAATTTTTCCCCCAGTGTTCTTCATGCAATAAAACTTAGGAGAAAAGTACCTAAATGATAAAGGTGGCTGTACACGCAGAGCTGACTGAAGATTAAGTAATTACACCAAACAGCTCCTGAGAACATGACTTGCATTCTCCCTGTCTGAGGGACACACATTCTCCCTCACTGAGCTCCGTTCCTGTTCCGCATTGGCACCTTCCCCCCTGAGCGGCTTCTCTTGTCTCATCCGGGCTGTTGTTCAACTCTCCCATCCTCTGCCCTGCCCCACGCTGGTGCCTCTCAGCTCACCAGGGTGCAGACACCGTGCTGCCAGGCAGCGCTTTCCCTTGCTGCTTGTCCATGGCACACCTGCTGTAGCCAAGAATGAATGGATGGGCCTTTCCCAATGACATTCTCTCTGTCTAATGACTTTTACTCATGATATATGACCCAGCTTCAAATTGCTGCACCTGAGGTTCCCATATCAACAGCACTTGAGAAAAGCCACCCTGTGTGGCTTCCATTTATACCTCCATCCTGTGTAGCTCCCCTTTATACCTCTGTCTTGTATCCCTTCATGCCTCCATCCTGTGTGGTTTCCCTTCATGCTCCCCATCCTGTGTGACTTCCCTTCATGCCTCCATTTTTTGTGGCTTTTCCTCGTGCCTCCTTACTGTGTGGCTGCCTTTCATATCTCCCACCAGGTGTGGATGACTTGAGTTTGGAGCTCTTGTTCCAGGACCTAGCTGAGGTTTTTATTTCTGGTGGGCTCTCACTAAATTATTCATAGGTGAACACATAATGTAGTTGTTGAGTAAATAAATGCATCCATTTAAAGGTCAGGTTGGTGCAGAGAACTGCCTTCATTTCGGGTGTCCTGTTCTCATTGTTATTTATCCCACTTTTGTGCCTATTCTAAGAAAAATACATTGTTCTCTCACATTGAGTAAAAGAACTTTAAAGAAGCAAATATTTAAAATTGGTCTGCCATAAACATTACTGAGACTTAGAAACTAACAAACAGAATTGGGCCTCATTCTTGGTCACTCAGCAAAAAGGAGCTTATACTTCAGGTAGCAACTCTACAAAAGGACAGTGGATTCACGGAACGTAAGAAGTAGAAATCCAGATTTAAAAGATTTGAGTGTATATTTCAGTTTGATTACTTTAGCTGTAAAAGTCTACCTGTTTGTGGAAACACATTACTAGGGAGTTTGGTCATGGAATAGAACTTCAGAACCTCATTATTGAATTAAAAAATGAAAATATTCTTTTGATCATTTTAAAATTTATGGACTCAAATAATAGCAGAGTGGTGGTAATGGTGAAGATGAAGGTGAAAGCTTGCTTATGAGACATGCCTCTCAGAGGACACGTTCTCCTGAAGCCATCAGCCATTGCTAGAAGCAAAGTCACAGATCCGAAGGATTACTGTTTGACTTGGGGCTTGTGGTCTCTCTTCTCCTAATGTATTTTTTAAATTATTAAAGTCATAGAATAGTTACAGAGGAGTGTTTATAAATTACTATAAATCGATAACTTGGAATTTTAATGTATATATTATTTCATATATTTAAAAAAGGGTTGTTGTTTAAATATTTGATTTCCCTAAGATAACAATTTGTGTTTCTAGTCATCATGAATCTTTTTCTTAACCAAGTATTTATTAGTATTCATAAATTTCGTGTAACCTGGAGATTCTGTAGACACTTTGGTGTCCAAGAACACTACTTAGATCTATGGAGTATTGTCACTGCCGCTTGTTTCTTTTGTTTTTGGTGTGTCATCAGAGTGACTCTAGGCAGTCACTGCCCACAAAAGCCTAATGAGTCGATAATATCCGTCTGCTTGCTCATTCCTTATAGGTGCTCTGGTCTTTGGAGCTGGGTCACTGGATTTCTGAGGAACCTTTTGAACTCTCTACCTACTTCCCGGCAGCTCCTGTAAGTCAGATGTTGTTTTTTTCTTACAATAAGTGCAATTTTGTTTGCTTAGGAAATCAATATAAATATAAACTCAACTGATTAAGTCAAGTGCAGTCATGCTGAAATTAAAGACATATCCATGGAACTTAATACCTTTTATTTATTTATGAGATCATATTGAGAATGTGATGGTACTTTGTAAAATTGCAGTAAGAAGTGTCTCAAGAAATTTTAGTTATGAAAGCCCTCAGGATTGAGAAAAACAAAAGTAATTTTAAAAAGTGTATTCTGGGGAAGGTAGCATATCTTGTATATGGTTTTAAAAACTAATGCCTTTCCTATTAATAGAGATAGAACTGATAGGTATAAAAATTGTGGCTTGTTAGCATTATGATATAGTCTTTACATTTTGATGGTTCTTTTAAACTCCACTTCAGTTTTACTGACTCTTAAGTGTTTCCGATTTTTAATGGAAAAGTTCCAGGTTCTGTTTTTTAAAAGATTAAGCAATAAAGAAGTGAGTGATTTGATACTTTATTGGGAGCACAATGGGACAGAAGTCAGCTTTCATTTTCAGAATTGTTGGCTGCTGCATGACAGCTGATTCCTTCAGCAGTTGGTGTCTGTCTGATGCCAAGCTGAGGGCTTGTCTGCCACCGTTCTCCCGCTGCTGCACTCGGCTGTGTGGCAGCCTGAGTCGGCCTCTGGCTGTGACATAGCAAGAGACTGGGCTCTGCCTTGTAGCCACTGCAGCTATCTAGGTTGTTGTATCGTTTTTGCTTTTTTAGGGTTATTGTTTTGATTTCCTTTCAACTCTATAAATGTTTTCTTAAGGAGAGAAAAAATTCCTCCCGGCAGGACTGTTTGTTTGAAATACTGTATAAGGAACTGAAGTGTAAAGTACAAACACAAATTCCTCCCATTCTCTGTCAAATGAGATTATATATAACTCTGAGTAACATAGTGAGGTTTGTCTTTGAAATTCGTTTTTCCTGCCTTCATGAGAAATTGATATACATGGTCTGTTGTTGCCAGTTTTTTCTGTGTTATCATTTTCTTACCTCGGGCATCTGTCATTAGGGCCATTGAGATACTAGAAACTAACTGTGGGCTTTTGAAGCTGTGAAATTTTCTAATTAGCAGATTTTTTAAAACCTGATGTAAATCCATGATAGCCTGGTTGAGTTTTTAAATCCTTCTTAAATGTCACAATAGGAGCAGTTCTCAGCCAGGAGGCTCAGAGGGTAGCTGTGGGAGTGCAGCAGGGTGGGGTGGTCCAGAGCCTGGAGGCCCTCACTGTCCCCTGAGCACCCTGTCCTGACGCTGCGTCTCAGGAGTGCAGGGAAAGGAACAGGGAAGAGAGCAGAATAAAGGAAAAAGCAATAGGCCAGTAAGATGCAAAGACACACGTAGGAAATGCTGGCCCCCTTCCTAGCTGTTGACTGGGGAATGAATATGAGAAACTGCTTCTGAACTCATCATGTAGATGTGTGTTAGTGTTGATGGTGCTATGAACTCTTCAAAAGAAGCCAAAGCTGCAGGAGTTAAGATTTTTGCAGTTCCTGAGCAAAAAGCTGCATCCTCAAAATTTTCTGTGAATTTTTGGGTGTACTCAGCATCAGATTTTGGGTCTGCATTCTGAAGTACTTCTTTCTTTCAGTCTGCTGATGGATGTAAAAAAAAATTGCTAATACAAATCTTTTTTCTTAAATAAGAGTCAAATCGAGCAATATAGCTTTGTGAATGTCTCGGAATGTTTTTCTCAATCACAAATTAAATTTCAGCTTAGTCTATAAAATAAATCTAGTGAAATGAGAAAATAAACCTCTTTGCAGTTACAGTGAGAAGAAAATATCTTTGTCATGGACTTAAATGTATAATTTCCTCATTATTTAGCTTTTCCTTGTCATGAGGCACAATCATTTCATAACCAAATTATAAAATTTACAGTGTTATCGTAAAAGTTAAACATAATTATCTCACTTAATAAGTTATATTTAATTACTAAAACTACCTTCATATTTAACAGCCAGCTAGGATAAAAATAGTACAATCTTCATACAAACCCAAATAGCAAACACTTCTATCAATAATTTCAAAGATTCTGGAAGTTTTTATCATAGAAACTTGAAATATGTATTTGAGCATTAACTTAAAAAGAAGCTGTCAACAGCTATGTAAATATGCTGTTTTTAAAATACAAATTTAAAGCAAAGCACGTCAGAGGAGTAAAAATGCTCTATGTTTTTCCAAATATTAAACTGTAATAACCACTTAGAAAAATCCCTGAATATATATTTTTATGGCTTAGAGACTTTTAATTATAATAGTGATGCTAAATCAGGACATATGGCTATTCACACAGTCTATAAACAGTGCTCGGAGGAATGCAGTTCCAAGATTATCTGTTTTCCAGTTATTTACTGAGAAACTCGCACATGACATTCTTGGCTGTGACAGGAGAGTCTGTGAATTGTCACCGTGTCTCAGCCTTGGATTCATCACACGTAGGTGTGCTGCCAGCCCACGCTGCCAGGTTGCTTCTGGCCTGGGGTTTGGCTCTGGTTCCCTCAGCATGAGCAGCAGTGCTGTCCCAGACTCAGCTATAGTCGGGAGCTCATGGACCCCATCGGCCAGGAGCTGCCTACGGTGGGAGGGAGAGGACACGGCGTGCAGCAGTGTGGGTCAGTCCCTTGGGGATGTGCGGCTCCGGGTGGTCTTCAGCACTTAGAAATCCACTGGCCGAATCATCATAGTGGTGGCCTTGAGTGAGTAGCCTGACCCCTTCCAGTAGTACCACTTAATCCCGTTGAACTTATTCGTGTTCTGCCTTTGTGGATAGTACATTCCGTTCAAGTTAGAAGGGCCACATGCATCGAACCACCAGCCTGTGAAAGTGGAACACAGAGGGAATCAGGAGGGAAGTAAGGCTGACTGCACAGGGCTAACAGTGCTTGGCTGAGCCAGTGCTCGTGTCCAGGGCCCTGCGGCAGGCGCGTGCAGACTGCATGCTGTGGAATGTGCTGCATGGGCAGGAGAGTGGTCCCTACTCCACACCCATGCAGTCATTCTCCCACCTTGGCAAATGTCCTTATGGGCTGGCTTGCTCTTTTCTCTGTGCTGTATGCACAGCCTGCCGTCCATCCATGGGTGTCTGATTTGGGAGACAGTGCAAGTGGAAGAAGGGGTAAGAAGTACTCACAAGAGCCCTTAGAGAACTCCTGCCCTGCATTACTCTCCAGCCCCTGCAGCGTGGTGGGCTGAGTGATTTGGGGTCCCCTTCTTCACAATTGTGTTGGTTAAAACAGAACCCAAATGTTAAGTACTCCGTGGAGCTTGATAGAAAGGAACCCTACAGCTACCATGGTACAGCAGGGGGCGCCAGCACAGCAAGTGGGCAGGCTCCCCCTTCATCCTGGTGTGGCCCTCAGACAGGAGTATGCCAGGTGCCAGGGTCCCAGAAGGACCCACCTCCGTTCTCCTGTGAATCTGAATGAAGCTTCAACACCTTGTGTGAGAGGGATCCATTGTACGATACCCTCTGTGTTAATTCTTTGATAATAACACAAGTATTATTGATGTCTCAGTAGCTAGAAAATAAATCAAAGTGAATGAAACTCAGTTTAGGAGCCTGGGAAATGGTATTAGGATAGCTTTTACCACACCTATAAAATTATATTCCTTAAAAATACTCTGATTCCGAGCTGGGAGTGGTGGTGCACACCTGTAATCCCAGCACTCAGGAGGCTGGGCTGGAGGATTGTGAGTTCAAGGCTGGTTTGAGCAACATGAGGAGACCTTCTCTCTCAAACAAGCAAACAAACAAACAAACCCTGATACTGAAAACCAGTGTAGCGTTTGCACGTTGGAGTGTGCGGATCCTGGGGCACCTGCCTTCTCTCCTGACGGCAGCCCTTTGGCTTAGATAATTCAGATGTAGGAGCTGAAAGCGCCTCTTGGAAGGCATGAAATGTTCAGGAATACCAGAGGTGCGGATCCGGGCCACTGGAGCCTGCTGACTGACTGCAAACACGCCGTCTGCAGACATCTGCCGGTCACGGCCGAACTCCGGTCCAGACCATTGGTAGGAACTTGGCCTCGTCACAGCGGAGCCTGCTCTCTTCTCTCTTGGGCTGCTTTTCTTCCCCCGTTTTTCCCCGGCTCCACTCTCAGCCCCTAAACCCTGCTCTGGGTAAATGAGTGCATCATTTCCTCGGATATGAACGCAGCCCTCCTGCTCTCCAGCCCTCCTGAGTCTTGAGTCGCGTGGCACGCGGGTGGTCTGGGACCCTCCAGCCCGCCAGACACATGGGCCGAGTGTGGGAATGGAAGGCAGGAAGGGGATTAGGGGCATTTGTGTTCCCCTTGTCCATGGCTTCAGAGAAGATTGTTGTGGTGGGAATGAGGGAGACCAGAAGCTTTTGATAAAATCAGTGTAAGAAGTTTTCTCCCCTCGAAATAATATGACTTTCAGGGGAAACCCACATCCCCAAGCAGTGGCTGTATTATCTCAGAACCACAGGATTGATTTTCTAGTGGGCCTTAATGCTTGCAGTAGTAAGTCATGAAAACTACTGAGTTTCATTTTTTTTCCCTAAATAAATCCTCCTCTGCGGCTACCCGCTCAGGACCCCTCCAGTCCTTCAGGAGCTTTCCTGTCAATAAATATCTTCCTACTTTAAAAAAAAATCCTCCTCTTGACTGTCAGCCATTCCTATATGAAGTCCAAATACAGTGTAAGCTTTGGTCTTTCTCTTGTCTTATGCAGCACCTGATCTTTATAAAATATATCAACCACTGCTCTAACCTTTGCTTTTCCTGGGTGAGCAATAAATCCATTTTTTGCTAATATAAGTTCTATTGCCCACTAATTAAACCCTGCCAATTTCTATTGGCACTCTTGGCAGAATTCCTGATGCTTCTTAAAATCTTTTAGTGTTAAGCACAAGGACCCGAGTTCAATCCCCAGTACCAAAAAACAAACAAACAAAAATCTTTTAGTGTTTTTTAAGAACCAATTACACAGCATTTGTCAGTCTTCTTTCTTATCTCAGTCATTGCTAGGTGGTTCCTGTTACTCCATTCCTAAACTTTAAAAAACTGGAAGTGTAAGTTGTCTAACAGTCGGTTCTTTTGGGGGAACTCTTACATATTTCTGATACCGACCCAGCTCTCAACATGAGGGCCACAGCAGTCTAGTCATGGAGTGGTTTTGGTTATAAAATAGTCTGGTGGGAAACAAGAAAGTCCTTGGTTTAAAGTCTACAATCACTCATTGGACTCTGATGCACTGAAAAAAAGCAGGTTGCTTAATTAGTTTCTTTGTTGGTAAGTTTTTGCTGTGTATTAATAAAATACTTATGAAGTGAAAAGCCCTTATTTGAATGTTAGCATATTAGTAAGAAATAAAGCAAAATGGAACAAAGCCTCTTTCTCGCATGTGCCCCCAGCAGGCACAAACTTGGGAGCGCTTGCTCAGTGCTGGATGTGCCCTCTCCTCGCCAGGGCTCTCAGGGGACACTGGTGGCCGGGTGACAGTTCTCACCCTTGTCACCCTCTCACTTCCAGCTTAACAGCCTAAACGCTGAAAAACAAATTTACCTGTGTTGGGCTAGTTTGTCTGTTATGAAGTGTTGGATGTGGAAGTCCCCGTGACTCGCCTTTTGTACTGTGGAATTACTCAATACAAATAGGAAGACAGAAGAGTCATCCCTACCTCCTGTTAGCATTTGTGAACATTTGCAGATACATTTGTCGTTGTCTGCATCCTTTGTGCTAAAATCATTTCCTGGTTGGCTTATGCTGCTTATTTTGCCGGCTGTGCCTGTGAGTCCTTTAAGGTGAATCCTGTAAGCATGCAAAGGAAAAAATAAAAGATGTAATTGGCTTGGGTTGTTGATTTACTGTAGTGGAAAATTTTTCATAGTGTAGAATTCCCTTGTGCAGAAACAAGTTCTGTGCTGGTGAGTGCACTCCAGTACCTACTCTGGACAAAATATTTTGCACTGGTATAAACAGGAACCAACTTATCATCAAATCCTTCAGCGAAGAGGGATGTTTTCATGAAAACTTCAACACATATCACTTGCACAAGTATCAGCAGGCCCTGTAGAGCCCTGCAATTTATTTTCCTGCTGCTCTCAGATAAACAGAAGAGAGGAGCACAGCATGGAGAGGCATCCCTCAGGTCTCCACTCACTGTCGTTTGGAACGCACTGCATGAGGACTGAGCCACCTCAGCAGCCACTGTTTTCAGCAGGGCTGGGTGTGGGAATGGAGAGGACAGCAGACAAGGAATAGTTGTGGATGCTGGGATAGAAACATGTACAACGGTGGAGAAAATAAACCTCTAAGGCCACCTTGCCTCATTCCTCTCCAGTAGTGCTATAAGTCTGGTCAGCTTTGAGAAAGGAACACATGGCCTGCTAAGACAGCCTGTGCTTTTAGGGTGTCACAACAGCATGGCTTCCATTAGCCACCTGGCCCAACTAGGAGAATCGGAAGAAAGCCAGAAAGTTGTACGGTTTCTGAAAAAATTAACTTTTCTGGAGTTCCCATGTGCAGGCGGTTCAGGACCGATCAGAGCTCGCTCATGAGATGGCAGTGGGTGTGGGAGTATGATGTCCATGTGTTGGGACAGAAAACCTCTGGTGCGTTGGATCCCCATGTTCTGATGGAGATGCAGGCACAGGAAGACCTGGACCACAAGTCAAAAGTCCTGCAATGGCAGCATTGTACTGTACACCTCTTAAATGATGCTTGTCTTTGTGAAACCTGCTGGTATTCACTGATCACCTTGGAAGCATGTTGCTTTGGAAGTAATATAATTTGCAAGAATTCCTGTTGGAACACAGTGCCAAGAAGAGAGGAGAGGCCGGCTGGGTGCCAGGCGCTTAGCAGGCCTGTATGTCAAGCCCCATGACAGCCTCAGGGCTGGGCGCTTTGCCTGCTGTTAGCTAGGTTCAGAAGTCGGAACCAGGCCAGAGTCAGACCTGGTAAGCTAGGATATGCACCAGACGTGCTACCTTTTGTGTTGTCTCCATCCCAGCCTGCACTTTACAGCGGTATTTGCTTATGGAGGAGGAAGCTGTGGAAGGATGGGGACGCAAAGCACATCCAGTGAAGCTCTCTGGGTGAGGCTCCTAAGTAACTCTCAGGTTAATGGCTCAGAGGTGACTCTTTTTTTTTTTTTTTTAATATAGTAACCCTAGAAATTTCATGCAGCATTGACTAAACTTCTGAATTTCAGCATTTTCCTACATATTTGAAAAATGAGACTGGCCAGATTCTTGCTACAGAATGTCAGTAAGCAGGCTCTCCTCGAGGCGAGGCCCCTGAGCCCTCTTCTTCCCTCGGGTCTCTTCCCGTGGACCCGAGAAGAGCCTGCGAGGAGCTGTCTCCTTGGCTAGTCCTTTGTGCCTCTTGTCTCCTTCAAACAGTCTGTTCCCATGCAGCTCACTAAATTTCCCCAAAGGCAAGCAGAATAAGGGAGAATATTATTTTTACTAGTGCCTGTTTGAAAAACTGTAATTTTTGATCCTTTAATGATGGCCCACTGGTTTAAAGTACTTTCTTTTACAATTTATCAAGAATAGCCTCTTTCTTTCTCTTTCTTCCTTCCTTTCTTCCTTCCTTCCTTACTTTCTTTTCTTTCTCTTTCTTTCTTTGTTTGTTTCTCCTCCTACCTCCTCCTCTTCTTCCTCCATTCTTCCTGCTTTTGCTGCTACTCTTCTCCTCCTCCCCTTCTTCTTTTTCTCCTTCTTTTCCTTCCTCCTCCTCCTCCCCTTCTCTTTCTCCTTCTCCTCCTCCTCCTTTTCTTTTTGAAGTATTGGAGATTGAACCTAGGGGCTTTACACTGAGCTACATCTCCACCCACCCCACTTCTCAACAACCTCATCCTTCTTGGCTTATCCTAAATTTCCATTCCTTTTCATGGTTGTGATTGACTTTGAGACAGGTGTCACTGTATTGCCCAGTGTCCACCTTAGTGCTGGTGTACAGACATGTGCCGCCACATGCAGCTGATTCTAGCCACACTCTTGGATTTGCTTTGATTGTGTATTACTTGATCATCTACAACAGTGTGGTAAAGAGGTAATGCAACATAGGGGCCAGGGATGTAGCTCAGTGGTTCCGGTGCCTGCCTCGCAAGCGCAAGGTCCCAAGTTCGATCCCTGGTACCAAAAAAAAAAGAGGTAATACAACATTTAATGATTAAATCTACGAAACTGCTGAATGGTGAATAAAAAGTGACTAATTTTAAGGATTAATATACAAATAGCTTTTGGCTTTATTAAAAAGTCCTATCCTATTGGTGCATTTATTCATTTCTTATAATATGCACCTTTCAGTTTTCTAACATTTGGGAAACATTTCCTAAGGGGGGAAAACACAACAGCTACTACACAGAGTTGGCCTTCTGAAGCATTTGTAGATACTAAGTTCCAGTCACATCACTAGTCTTTTGTCACATCAACATCATGTTTTCTTTGTGCAGAGATTTTTATATAATATGTTTTATGTTGCCAAGGAAATTAAGCTTTAAACCAGTGTGTGTTTTTCTAAATGGGGTATCCAAAAACTGGTTGCATTTCTAAAGGAAATGTCCACTAAGAACCATCTCAGTTTAAAATACTTTTCTAATGTCAGCATACAAGGGTAATGACCCATTCTGTAAAATCTTCTTACACAAACAGTCTAATCCTTAATTTTTGTGTTTCCCTTTCTTTAGCTCCTCTGTTGTAGATTCCTAACTGTTGCCAGTTGAGAAAATATTTAGCTTGGAGGTGACACAATGAGAACCGCTTGTGTCTCGGCATCGGCTGAGGTTCTGATGCCTTTGGAGCCCAGCAGGGCCTGCTGGGCCCAGCACCTCTCTCACCCCACATCTCCCCTGCTCTCCGGGAGCCCTGCTCTCGGTATTGAGAACGGATAGAGTGGGCTTCTCAGACTTCTTCACAGTCGAGTCTTTTCAGACACACTTTGAATGGAGCCCGTGTCCAAGCCAGGGCTGCCAGGCATGGCGTGGGTTTCCGGTGGCGGTTCAGGCCCTGTGACTGCAGCCTATGTTCTGAGCTGGCCGTGGGGACCCTTCCTCGGAAGCCACCCTAGGGCTTTACCCACATGTTCCAGCAGGCCCAAGCTGGGCACTGCTGAGGTTGGGCTCCTGGGCCCGGTGGCGACTGCTGCTCCTCTGAGTATCCCTTGCGGCTCGTTCATCATGTGCTCCGTGGTCCCCAAGCCACCAGTCTGGCTGCATGGGCTCCTGTGGACCAGTGCTGGTGACAGCTGCCCCAGGCCACTTCCTTTGGTGCCAGTGGCCCACACACTCACCTGCATCTGACAGTGCTGGGGCCACCGCGCTGTCTGCATGGCCTTGCTGCACCGCCCAGCACTGCAAGGCCATCATACTCTGGCTCTGCTCTCATGGTGTTGTAGAGCCAGGAAGGAAATTCCCATCCAGGTGGCATGTGCCACTGGAACATTCAAGGCTACTACTACCAGATGGCAAGGACCAGGAAATGCAAAGGGGAGGCTGTGAGTCGGATGCGCTCTGTTTCAGAGCAGAGTGGTTGCCTGACTGCCACGTTTAAGCCTGGCAAGTAATCCTGTCTTTGGACTGAGCACAGTAATTCATGTGTTTAAACGTCAAACAGCAGCTTAACTTCTAGTGCCTTTGGGAAGAACGCAGTACAGTCCCAGATAAGCGTCTGTTAGGGCAGCAGGGAGACTTAGCATGCACTGGTGTCTGCAGTCTGCTGTGGGAATTGTCGCCTTAGAAGAAACAGGCCAGGCAGAATGCTGTACATTGTTCTAACCAAAGCTAGAATTTGAAGTAGGGAAACATCTGTGCAGCCAGAAACGACTCTAAGAAACGAGACCCCGGCCAGGTGTCACACTGTCACTGTCCACAACACCGTACCGCGTTTCCCTCTCCGCAGGCAGCGCCCAGCTTACCGGTACTTGAAGTCTTCGCTGGCCAGGGAGAAGTGCTCGTACAGGGAGTATGCCTCGCTGCCCTCCCAGTCCTGCAGGTGGATCCTGAGCACGTAGCCCTGCAGGCTGCTCAGCTGCGCGACGAGCTCATTCCCCAGCCAGTGCTCTCCCGCCGGGTTCCCGAAGCCCTGGAACCCGAGTTGGGAAACTCAGTTACTTTGTTTATTTTTTCGGTACATATTTGAAACCCAAGGCTCATCAGTTTACCATGGAGTGACTGCCAGCTCGTCAGCAGAAACACTCCCCGTACTGTGGGCGTGCAGCGTCTTCCCCAGGAAAGCCAGCTTTGCAGGGGTCAGTGTTAGGGACCTCACTGTTCCTGGGCGAGCTCGTGTTGGGGTAACCGGGGCTCCTGGGGTCCTGGGTGAGGGCGTGGATGTGTAAACACAGCCTGGGAGCAGGGCACAGGACGCCTGCCTGCCTGCCTGCCTGCTGGGCCTGGACGCCAGGCCTCCAGTGGGGATGCTGGGGAGGACCTGCCCTAAGAAGCTCGGTCAGAAGTCAGTGCCCTGCGCCTAAAATTCAGAAGACCTGGACAGTTCCACAAAGGACATTAGTTCTTTTGAGATAGTTTAAGGAATGTCCATACCACTTTATACTCCCTCCAGGTCCTCTGGAAATCAACACTGCCATTTTCGCGGCGCTGAATGACCGTCCAGCCGCCTCCGCCCGTTTCCATGTCGCAGTAGGCCTGCCAGAGGAAGTGAACGGTTACCGCACGCAGACAGCAGTGACAGGGCTTCGTGTGGGGGAGACAGATGGGCATGGACACACACCGCACCACATGTGCCAGGGGCCAGATGCCAGGACCAGGCACACATAGGGCTGACACTACTCCCAGACTCTTGTAGGGAAAGTTGGAAACATTTGACACGACGAAGGAAAACAGCCATATAATATGTCTTTCTTGTCAGCATCTCTTGCTGGCTGGGGACCCCAGCCCCAGAGATGACCCAGAGAGCAGTTTTTGAGGGACTTGTGAACAGGTCACCACGGGCCATTGCCCCAGCCCTCACTTCTCCAACTGGAGGAAACCACTGAATTGTGTGCACGGCCTCAAAACCTCCCCTGCCTGCCGTGCCCGGCAGCTCTGTAGGCAGCTGTAGAGAGCCGTCCACTTTGGATGCAGGGATCCCAAGCTCCTGCCTCCTACCCCATGGTGGATGTTGGGCTTCTCTGTGTGCAGTTACTAAAGGCCAGGCTCCTGTCTGGTCCCCGAGCTGGGGCCTGGCACTTGTGTGCCAGAGCCCTGTGCCCCCCGCTTGGCCAGGCAGCTCTGCTCCAGGTCATGAGTTCAGGCTTCTCTGTAGGTTGCTCGCTGCCTACGGTATTTTTCTTCCCAACTTTTTATTTCTGCCTTTAAACTGGCTCCATGGATTTAAACTTTGTCCAGAACACAGAATTCTTTCTTGGGCAAAGAGCATGCATGCTCAATTTCAACTCAGCTGGAGTTCTATTATGAAATTAAGAACCCCTGAAAATAAGAGTACATAAATAGTTTTCAATAATAAGATTATAGTAGGACAAAAATTGTTTTCCAGAAAGTAAGATAATTTCCTTAAGTCATACAGGGTAGGGAATATTAAACTTATGATTCACAGCCAATTCTGAAGACTCTTCCTTTGTTGTTTCCCATGGTCTTTAGAGGGTAAGGGAGCGTTTTGGCAGGGTACGCTTAAATGTGAACGGTTGTGTGTTTGCAAGTTAGGGCCCAAGGGAGGAGAGCCGAACTCAAGACAGCACCTAGTCCTGTCCTTCCATCTTCCACAGGGGACACAAGCACCCCAGGGGCCCACGAGGCCCATGGAGAATGTCGCTCAGCACCCGCTCTGCAGGGACCCTGTCTAGCACTGGTCCCGTCTCTGCCTTGAAGGTCACAGGGTCATATTGCCTGCCCCAGTGACCCTGTTGTTTAGAAAAATAGATGGCAGGAAAGAAAAATGCATTTACCATAAGAAAATTATTTCCCAGTTTAACTTAGACATATAAAATTGATCTACTGAAGGAATCCCCTTCAATATCACTCTGTATTGATATTATTTTTATTAACTATCACAGTTGTGGTTGAGATATGCCAGTTTTCCAAGCCCAACTCTGCTATGACAGCATCATTCTGCATCTTTGAAAGGCAGAAAGATTTAAAGTTGATTAATTTTATCACAGTCATTCAGCTGTTCAATAGTGTACAGAATTTGAATAAAGTCTCCTTAATTCCTATGTAATATTTTTCCCATTACATCATGCTGCCAAAAACAAAGAAAGTTGACCCTTTCGTTAGTAGGCCAAAAGTCCCTGAACATAGCTCCAAGTGAAATCAGTTCATGAATAGTACTGTTTCTTATTTGCCTATGGTCAACAAAACAGTCAGTGCTGCTCAGTTCTATCAATGTGTCTTTTTAAAAATACGGTTAGTGAACTGGTTGAATAAGGACACTGGTTTGAGATCCATGTGTACTCACAGAAGTTAATTCTCAAGTATCCCAATGGCCTCCTGAGTTGGAAGAACTGACATAGTTCCCTGGGAGCCTATCCCTCTTCTGAGGATACGTGATTGATATCAGGACCACTGTGATGAGGTTAATAAAGACCTGCCCTCCTGTCCAGAGCCCTAGCCATCTTGTTCTGGGAGTCAGAGCGGAGACTCTGGGACATCGAGGGTCCCTTCCAGGGTACAGGTGACTTGAGCCAGTCACTGTCCCTCTGACTCCACCAGTTACCATGAGAAGCCTATTAGGACGTTTCTTCATAGTCTATCCAGGTTTTTAGAAAAGGAACAGAAGATCTATAAAAACTAAAGAATTATAGTCACTGAGTCAAGAAACTTGAAGAAAGAGCATCCAGACAGAATTGTCCACATAGCCAGGAGATATTCAGTGAAAATGATGAGGTAGATTCTGTCAGGATCAGAGAAGCAGAAATACCCAGAGGATGCCAAGAGAGCAGCCCTAGGTGCCAGCAAGCTAGAGGCTGTTAGTACTCTCCATGAGCCGTGTTGCATGGACCAGGGACCGGGCCATCTTGCCAGAAAGCCTGATGCCATCAGCAAATAGTGCTTGATCAAGTGCTGTGACCAAATAGCAAGCACATACGTATTAGGAATTAAGTGTCCTGGGAAACTGAAGGAAGGAGACTCTTACGCTTCTAAATAGCAGAAGACGCCATTCCTGCTTCTGATAGTGTTCCCTTATAGTGTCTATCTTGTACAAAAAACCAATGAATTTTTCAAAAGTAAAGTTGCAGTACTTAGGCCTTTTGGGGAAGAAAAATCTGTTCAAAGAACGGTTGAACATTGTTTTCTTGAATTAGGTGACCCAGGGCAAAATCGAGTACACTGCTGTGCCTGGAAATTGTCCTGTGGTCTTTGGAGAACCCTGATTTTTTTTTCCAAGGTCTACCCTGAGTACTGTCCCCCCACAGGCACCGCCTCCAAAGTGGGAGATGTTGTCCTTGTGACAGGTCAGGGCTGAGAGCTCAGAGGGGTGGAGTGACAGCCGCAGGCACACACAGCTGGAATTTAAACCCAAATCCACCTGCCTCTCCCTCAATCGGATCGGGAATTATGGCAACATAAGCCTAGAAGGCAATTTCAGAGGAAATTTAATCTAGATAATTTATTATAGAGAAGAGAAAATCGAGGTTTTGAAAGAGTTGTGTTCCATGCTGTGTAAATGAATTTATTTTAAATGTGCAAAGGGAATACAAATCTTAATGTTTCCCACCCTGACCTGAGACTCACGGCAGGGTGTTCTGGTCAGCGATGCAGGTGGTGTGGCGCAGGAGTCTCCCCACGCTGTCACTTCTGTCCCGGGCCCTGCGTGCGCAGCAGCCACACTGTGTCCATGTCCACTGCTCTGGACACTGCTGTCCCTTTTATCTCTAAGCCGAGAACACGCAACTTCCAGTGCCAGACAACAACATGCAAAAACCTGTGCAGTTATGCAGAGCGCTTGGCAGACTGAAAGGCAGTGCAGCCCAGGGTTGGTTGCTTTTTCATCTGCTGCAGCCTATTTGCCCCCCCCCCCAATACACTGTTTCTGAGCCACTAAGGACATTAACTGATTTTCAAGGTTGATTTCCAGCAGCATGAATGAATTAGAAAGGTTTCTTTGGAAAGTATTATCTTAAATAGTACCACATTTATCTTTTAATCCATAATCAAAGTATATGTTACTGTTTCAAATTCCACATCTTTAAATTCCCAAATGCTTGTGTTTTTCTTTGCTACAATGTTAAATACCAAGTTCAAAAGATACTACTTCCAGGAGCCTCTAACCTTCCCATCTAGCATAGTACCTACATTTTTTGGAGATATTTGTGTCAGTTCAATGTGTAGCCGCTTTTACTTTAGCTCCAGCCCTCCCTGCAGACATTGCATGTGTACGGCTGCCCGTATTTACCTCACAGGCCACGGATCGCCCTGAGCTGTCTCCCAGAGAAGCAATTTTCTGTGACTGTGCACCTCAGTGTGTCCCCGGCTGTGCCAGGAGTGGGCTCACTGAGCAGTGCCGCATGGCCATAATGGCTGAGTGTGGCAGTGTCCACCAGCCTCCTGGACAGTGCTGTCATTCACTTTCCACACAGCAATGGGAGAATGCCTAGGGGAGCTGCTGTCGAGGGTGCTCTTTTAGGTCCCCCAGACTTCAGCAGAGGAGGTCATGCCCTTCGCAGAGGGTTCTCCCAGCATGGGCTGCAGACCCTGGGCATCCCTGGGACTGAGCAGCCGCAGGTCCCCGAGGAGGAAACCACCTCCACATTGACACTGGGGCATCACTGGCCTGCGGCAGTGTTGGCGTGTGTACCCGTGAAGCGAAACAGCGGTTTAAGACTACCGGCACCCTGGCGGAACTCAGGACAGGGATACAAACCACGCTAGAGTCCTTGCACTTTGGACAAAGGAAAGTCAGGGTCAGTTAAAGAAGTCTTTGATAAGCAATAAAGTTTGTTTGTTGAGACCAGGCCTCCCTATGTTGCCAGACTGTCCCAAGCTCCTGAGTTCAAAGGATCCTCCTACCTGGCAAACAGTGAGTTTTATTGCACCTCTGCTCCTGAGGACCTGTGTCTTAGATGCTATGGGAGGTGGGAAGTATGCGGAATCACTTCTGCATGCCACAGGGCCATGGTTGTCTCCAAGCATCATGTTAGTGTGATTGTTGTAGGTGTGAACTGAACGAGCCTTGTTTCCTTCATGGAATACAGCTCGCAAGAGTAAGCAAAAGACAAATGGCAGTTATGCAAACTTCAGTTTGGGGAAGCTGTTGTCTTTAAAACGAATGAAATAAGTCAGGCTCTTCAAGGAAAACACCAGCCCATGTGCAGTGTTCAAGCAGAAACAAGACAGACTATCTCTCCACCATGACACCCAGCGTCCGTGGTCCACACACAGCACCTGAACCCCAGCCCTCGGTACTCAGGGTCCTGGAGGCTTCTGCTCGAGGTCCCTCACCCTCACGTGCCCCTCTGGAGCCAGGGTGTCCGTGTTGGGAGCCTGGTACCTACCTTTATCTCCTCTGTAGAGTTGGGGAACGTCAGTGTGTAGACACCACTGGTGGTGTGTCCAGCTTTGAACACGGCAGCACAGTCTCTGAAAACCACCTGTCCTTCCTCAGCAGCCATGGCATTCTTTGCTGTGTTTAAAACATAAAGCATTTCAGTGGAGTTCGTGAAAAGAGAAAAGTTTATTCAAGGCCCAGTCATTTGGGGAGTTTGATACATTTGAATTCTTATACTAAGCAAAAGAATGTGCTAGTCCTTCTCTTCTTTCCTAAAAAGTTACATTGTCAGCCTGTTTTCCCATGATTGTGATTCTTACAAATAATCCATACTTTGTTATCATCAGTCATGTGTGACCCGAGTACTTCACAACCAGCAAAAGAAACTAGTACTGTTTACATTTTAAGTTTCAACTGTTACTTTTTAAGTAGAATGATCAGGAGAACTTCCTACGGAGGACTAATCAGGGAAGGGACCTTCAGTGTCACCGGCTGGTCTCCACTGAACATGCCTTCGGGTGTCGCCCCGAGACCGCTGTGTTCATTTCCCCCTTTCCCTTCATATATCTGAGGCTAAGGCTTTGACTTCTTTGGAACATTGGGTGGACGCACTCCACGCCCTGGATTTTTAGCAACCGTCTCGCTAACAGTTTGCACTTTAGAGGAGCATGGTGTGTATTTGCCTGCGCATTTTAAATTCTTCCTCTAAACCTAAGTCTTCTGGAGCTGTGAAGTCCCTTCAGGTTTTACACCGCCGTCGACCTTTAGGCCTCCTCTTCCATTTTGCCACACTCAGTCCTTGTGTCCTGCGTGGCTCTTCTGTCTCCCTGACTTGGGAGCCCCGCAGAGCCACAGTCCTGGAGCAGGCACAGCGAGTCTCCGCCCACCAGGCCCCGCGCACGCGCACGAGCGCTGGGAGGAAGCTCGCTCTGCGCTCCTTTTCTCACGCTCCTGGTTTTCTGCAGAATGTGAGCTGCAAGGCTTCTCCACCGCACCTCATCCGTGCTGGCTCACGCTGTCCTAGGCCCACCAGCCTCAGAAGATTACCTTTTCTTTTTCTATGAATATGAAAAAGACAGGCTTTTTCGACACCATAAGGGGGCAAAACTCTTGATGGAAAGCACACACTGTGCACAGCAGCCTGGACTTGGTGGCAGGATGTCAGGACTGTGTCACTGCGGCCATCTGTATGTTTGTGTAAGAGAGCGCTTTGACTGTTTCTGTCAAGGTGGAGGCGGCTGCACAACACTAGGAGAGCGTTTTGGAAACCATGCGACCCATGCGTGACTCCCCGCAACTCCCATGCACAGTGTATCTGTGTCAGACGAGTTCAAGTTAGACGGACCTTGTGAAATAAACCACAGCATAACTAGGTCAAGCTTGCTTAGGGAGAAAAACCGAAGTGCCACAAGACTGTGCAGCACACCCTTAGTTAATGTCCGCCTATCCCCCATATCTAGGAGCAGCTGGGAGGTAAAGCAGTAATGAAGAAGGCGAACGCCTCCAAGGCCCTGGTAAGAGCAGGGATTAAGGCCCGTGCACCGTCACTGGAAGTGTTCCTTCCTTTAATCCCCACGGCTGTCCTGTGTGCCAAGGGTGTATTCCCCGATGAAGGCCAAAAAAAGGAGGACCTGCTCTGGCTTCATAACTCGTTAGCCTGCTCCCTCCCCTGGACGATGGTGCCAACACACAGCAGGCTCCTTACAGCCTTGAGCGAAAGTACACCGGGGAGCTCTGCCTCCCAGCAACTGACTGCTGTGCCTCTCCCCTTCTCCTTCACTCCTCCTCCTCTCTGCCTGGTTCTCGTTGAGCCCCTTTTGAGCTTTCATGAGAAATATAAGAGAAATTGGGCCTTTTCTGAAAGATGAGAATCTGTTAGAACTTTGACAGTCCATCGACTAAAGGTTACTAAAGCTGAAGAAAAATGTAAATTTCACTTACAGTTTGGTGTTGCTATCATGGTCATTAAAGTGTGAACCGTCTCCATCAGATCCAGCTGCTGCTTCTGGAGGGTGGAGGTGTTCACGGAGGCAGTGACCAGTTGCTTCTCCAGCTCCTTGATGATGGAGTTTTGCTTGGACACCAGCACCTGGAGCTCCGCTTTCTCTTCCTTCATGGACTGCAGCTGCACCGAGTGCTTGTCCTCCATGTCCAGCACTTTCTGCTCCAGGACACTGTGGGGAGGGAAATGCTCGTTCATTGGTGGGGGTTCTCAGACCTGACGGCTTCAGAGCCAAATGCTCCGTGAGCACCTGATCACTGCCACGGTTCTCATGGAACTGTTTGAATGTAGGGCACTGTGACGATGCAATGGGGTTATACAGCTCCGAAGAGTCTCCCGCTCGCCATGACTAGAAAGACAGATAGATACATGGGGGGGGGGGGGGTCCTGCGCTGTGGTAGAGGAACATGCGTGTCACAGGCACTTGGTGCTATAAGGTGTTTGGGTGACCTCCACTCTGTCCGAGTGAAAGCACAGAGCGAGCTGTCTCCGCTGGAGAAGACACCTGATGGACTGAGGTGCCGGTGCAGAGAGGCTGAGGTGTGATGGGCTGTCAGCCCTCACTGCAGGCACAGCTGGCCGTCACCCAGGCGGCCCAGCCCTGCAGGTGTCAGGTGCAAACCTACCTGGGCAGTGCCTGTCATGCTCCCCAGGTGCATCTCCACCCAGGCGAAGGTGTGAGATCCATGACCCCTGGCGGCCCTTCGGTTCAGTTACTCTGTGCGTCTAGTGTGTTGTGTTTTGGCAGTGATAGCTTCTGAACCTTGAACCCCACAAACAACCCCAACCAGCCAAGAGACTGGACTGTAAGTGGTAATAACTGTAAGTCATAGCAGCTTGTCCATAACCAGTGCTAACTGTCATTATTAGAAGTTGAATTCCAGCTCTTAAATTTATTCCAGCCCTCTGGTCATTATAAATCACTATGTGATGACAAATGTATTGGCCGAATGCTGAGGCAACAATCCATGGCTATCATGCAGTTATTTTCATTAGACTTCGTCAGTTTTTCCATATCCGTTTTCAACTATTGTTCCTTAATGCTTCTCTTGATATTAGCTAACTTATTTTAAAAGAGAACTATCATTTTCTTTTATTTTATAAGAGAACCAGCACTCTTTAAAAAAAAAAAAAAGATATAGCACTTTCATTAATTTATAAGTCAAGATGATTTACCTTAAGGAAAAGGTAATTTAAAAGTTAAGTGCATAAGTTTTTTCCTGCTTTCTGCCTAAAATCAGTCTCAGTGCCACCAGCACATACGCAGTATGCCTTGGGAAGCACTGCTGCAGCTTGGCCCGGAGAAGCCTCAGAATGTGGGGCACCTGTGTGTCACCAGTCTCTCCTGCTGGCACCTTGGAAGTGATGTTCTGAGCTCTCTCCTGCTGCTGTTGTCATCTGTGAGACAGCGGGGCAGTAAGATGTGTGAGCCACAGTCTGGAGTTGGCTTATCGCTCAGTGTGGTGGGGCTGCTTTCGTCCCTTCCTCCTGAGCCTTTACTAGGACAGCTCCAGAGGGCAGTTGCATCCCAACATAAAAGAGCTTGTTTTGGGGTTGAACATAAGCGTGCATCTAAGACTGAAGCCAGCATCGGATCATCCCGGCCCAGACTGACTGAGGGCAGCGCAGCTGAGGAGGTAACAGGCAGATTGCTGCATTTCACAGCTGTCAGCAGTGTAGGGATCCTGTTACAGAGCAGCATTTCGCAAAATGCACATCAGGACCCACTCACTAGTGGCTTGTAACATCAATTTAGTGAGTTGCAGCTAGCATTTTTTTAATGGAGTGGTAGAAAACGGATCAAGATACAGAATGAATTCATGGCAGGGGCCTTGCACATTGCAAAAATGCCATGGCCAGTATTGATCAGTGCCGAAGGACAAATGCAGAGCAAGTGTGGGGAGCAGACACATCGGCTGGAAACAAGTACCCTGACAACTTGCTCACTGGCATCTCATTTGATTTTCTGGCGTATAGGATGGTCTACTAGATTGTCACCGTAAAGTTGGACTTCAGTACACTTGATCTTAGCCAAAAGGCCGAGAAATGATGGACTTTAGTACAGCTTCATTTTATATCAGCATAACTCAAGGTTAATTGGGAACTGTGGGGAAGAATCCTATTGGCAGGAACATCAAGAATCTGAATCACATTTGTTATGGTTTGGCTATGGTCTGCGTCCAACAAAGGTTCATGTGTTGGAAGCTCCTGAATGGCAGCATGGGAGGTGGTGGAAGCTTTAAAAGGTGGGCCCTGGGGGGAGACCTCAGCGTCGGGGGGCTGCCCTGGAAGGGATTAAAGGAGCTCTCACCTGAGCAGCCGCCACACCCGAGTCCTCTCTGGCTCTGTCTGTTGCGGATGTGAACTCTTCCTCCTAAACGTGTTCCTGCCATTCTGTTACCATTTGCAACCAGGCCCTCGACCCTGAGGCTGAACCAGTGAGGCTGCCTTCTCTTGGACTTCTAGCTTCCAAAGCTGTGAGCTAAGTAAACTTTTGCACGTTAGAAAGTGAGTCTGGCTTAGGGATTTCATTATAGTCTCACACACATGTGCGTGCATACACACACCCCACACACACACACACACACACCCACACACACACACGACCAAATGTGTTTCTTTTATGAGTGTCTCTGCATTTCTCCAAAGGGGATAGTGTCTTTGGCAATATGTTCCCAGGCCAGAGCAGTTTAACTGAGCTCTTCCCATAGCCCTAAATTAATCATTTATTTTAGAAGAACAAAAGAATAACAAGATAAAAATGCATAGTTTTCAATTTCAATTTCAGCTGGGGAATCTAAATGTGTAATAATGGTAATTTTGAAAGAAATGTTGCTCCTGGTAAATATTATCGCTTCCTTTGAACCTGTTCCATACAGACAGCAATTTTACTTTCAGGGAATGATTGAACTAGGTTTTGTCAAATGTAGAGCATGGTGTTCAAATTTTTACAATGATGTTCTTGCAAAATATCTTAGACCAGTGAAAGTTTAAGGCAGAAATCACTCTTTGAAAAGATGTAAAGTAATCCATGAAATTTCATATGTCCTTTTATAGTTATTTCATTGCACATTTTTAACACGAGAAGAGTGTGATTTCTGCAGCACCTCAGAGCTTGCTCCTCCTCTCTGTGTAGATTGGACTCCATAGGGCTCTGTGGCTTCTACCACTGTCCTCAGGGTTCGCAGTTCAACTGGGGACTGGACATGAGTCACAGTGTTAGTTTTGTTAGATGTCCTTGACAAGGTTCTTTTCATAGGGAAAATGATGAAACATTTGAACTTTACCTCATACAAAACTAGATTTGATTTACTGCAGAAGTACGCATTGATCCATGTAGATTAAAGTAGGGCAGAAAGTGAGGATTGTTTAAGCAAGAAAGACCAGAAAACACAGCAAGCTGCCATGGGCCTGGAATCATTCTTCTCTGTATTGTAAAAGCTTGATATAAAAGAAATTTCACTGAATCATGAGATGATCAAAAATGTAGTGAGAGTTGTTGACTGTATTTCAGAGCAGATCACTGAGGAGCTGACTTTGTGTAACACAAAGTCACACTTCTGAGCATGGAGTCTAAAGAATAAGGTTCATACTTTTCTATGTAAAAGCCAGCACGATTTGACAAATACAGTCAGTCCTCTGTATCACAGGTTCTACATTTGAGGATTTAACCAACCTTGGATTGAAAATATTTGGAAAATACGGCCTCTGTAATAAACATGTACAGACTTTTATTTTCTTGCCACTTACATAGCATTTATATTATGCCAGGTATTATAAATAATCTAGACACAACTTAAGATACTCAGGAGGCTATGCGTAGGTTACATGTACATACGATGCTGAGATATATATATATATATATATCTCAATATGTATAGCACCAATAGCTGTTCCTATCCAGGGTCCTGGAACCAGTCTCCTGTGGGTACTGAAGGACCACAGAATTTACAGAAGTGGTACTGATATGTTTATCATTATGGGACACTAAATCAGAAACCCGTGGGAGAAACAGCACTCGGGACTAGAATATGTCCACAAGTACTGTGTACCAGGCTCTGGACGGCATTACCGCTAAGCAGACAACAGCGAGCCAGGCTCACCGTGTCCCTAGCACTACTACACAGTGAATTAGCGAGGTCACTGCATTTCAGTTATTGCTCTCAAGCTTTTATTTCCTTCTGTGCAGAAGAGAAATTTGAATCACAAAAGGAAAATATTTGAAGAAGAAAAATCTCTTTGCTTTTCCAAACCCTAAGTCAGTAAGAGTCCACCTTGGTACCTGAAGAACAGAATGCATCACTGTGTCGCACCTTTGTCTTGGCTGACGGTGAAGAGTGACCGTGAGTTAAGTCTATCGTCACTTCTGGGTGAGACTGAAACATGAGTTAAATCATGAAATGGAGAGGGTGTGTGGTTGTGCTGTTCTCCAGATACGTCCCCAGTGAAAACGAGGGGACGAGCACCCCGATCACCACGCGTGTCCCCCGCCGGAGGGAGCCTCTGAGGCAGCCCCTGCGAGCACCTGAAAGTTTTGTTTTTGTGTCCTTAGCCTTGGGTTCTTTTCCGGTATTTGATCTGAATATTAATGCAATCGTATTCAACATTAACTTTTTTTACTTTCTGTGCTTTAAGAGGAAGTACTGCATCACGAAGTGAGTACTGACTTACAAACATAGTTTTCCTACTGCAGACCATCTTGTTTTGGAAGAACCTAAGTCTAAAGGTAAAGAAGCTTGGTAAAGTTAATGTTAAAATGTCTGGGCCAGAGTCACTTCCTTCACAGCACTACTTATTATAGATTAGCATGCATGATGCTGAGGCGGTTTGGAAGGTTACTGTAAGGGACCAGAGAATGAAAACAATACCCAGGACTATATCGGAACTTCTATGTTCGTTATTTCTCAGCAAATGCTTTCCCTCTACCCCCTCCCAAGGTTCCGGGGGTGTATGCTGTGCATGAAGAAATCCATTATCCTGGAGGCCATGCTTGGAACTAAGTCACGTGAGGTGGGCTTTTCTCTCTGGAAAGTATATAGTTCTGAGTTACAAAGATCTGCACACTGTAATTACCTGTTCTTATCTTGTAACTTGCTTATTTCACTGGTCTGATCCAAAATCTGCTTTTCCAGCTTGTTGGTAGAAAGCGAATGTTCTAGAAGCTGAAGTTCAAGTCTTGTTGTTTGATTTAATACCTACATGCAATAAAATAAAATTCCTAGTTATCATTTTAATACATTTAATCTTATACCTTCCTTTTAATTCAGTTGCCCATGTAATTGGAAAACATAACACATCATTTATTAACCCAAGTGTCTTATTTTGGCGTGGTTTTTATTTTCAGAAAAGGCTTGGTATCTTGGATAACACTCAAGTGTGTTGAACTTTTTTCACCTTGTTTTTATTTTAGAAAGTGGTTCTGGAAAATGGTTTGTGTGAAGTAATATAATATTTTTTTCTCATACTGCTATATTTTATCATTTTACCCACTGAGACAATGGGAGTATTAAATGGTTCTATTTCATTGACCAACAGCTGTTGATAAATTTAAAAATATTTTCCCCTCTGCTCAGATGAAACACTGGTTCTCATATTTGTTTGTTTGTCAGTAGACTAAGGGATGAAAAGTTACACACTTCCCTTACATAAAAACGCAGCTCATTTTTAGCCTGGCATTTCCTAGCTTTTATTTTTTTCTTTGCCATTTTTCTTTTTCCCACTTTAAAAGTCTTTTCAACCAATAGGAAACAATAAGATGTCAGTATAAAGTGGAACCCAGTGTTGCTCTGTGGCCTTTCTCATGTATAATGTGCAGCACCAGGGGACACAACTTTGAAGATGGATTCTTTAGCATTTGGCTGACTTTTCCAGGAAGAATCGATTGCTCACATCCTCCGTGTCCTGCTTATTCAGGATGTGATGTCACGTGTAAGTGGAAGTCAGAATTGTTGCCAAAGAATCCAGGTCCTTGAAAGAAACATTGTTTGGTGGGTGTTGCTGTCATTGTCGGGAGCCCTGGCTGGCCCGAGGCACAGGGCTTACGTGAGCGAGGCTGGTCCCACGTCCCCGCTGGCTGAGTTCACTGCAGCCAGCCCCCCTGTCAGCCCTGGGGTTAACACTGGAGTGTGGACCCAGCCTCCATTCTTTGGCTCAAATGAATTGGAAAATCACACTTCCTATTTAATTCGTAAGAATTAGAAAATGCCAACATTTTGGGAGAGAGGCAGAGGAGGTGGTGTATAGGTCCTAGGATAACTGCGGTGTTTTCCTGCTGCTTTTCTGAAGAGTTACGCCGTTGAGCTGGCCTCACGGCCCGGGTCTGCTGGTGACTAAGCAATGCGGGGCTCCCAATTCTTCTCTTCAAGGTCTCTCTCAGACCTCCAGCCACACAGCCGTGCCCGATTTAACAGTCTCTTGCTCTGGCAGGCAGGTCTCGCGTCTGACCAGAAATCTCCACGTTTAACTTTCAACCTGTTTCACGCAGCCTGTATCTGATCAGCACTTGGCTCCTAGTGGACTGGGTACATAGTCAGCCTCTTTTTTTCATTAGTATATGTTTGCGATAAATAACATGCACACTCACTGTGCAGAATGTACGTACACACTGCATCTCATCCGTTTTACCTCCCTGCCCTCCTCTCATCTCCCCTCATCCCCACATCCCTTCCTGTCTCCACAGCGTCTCTGTTTCCGTCGTGTCTTTCATTACTCAGTCTCTTGATGTGCTTCGTTAGACTCAGCCATGTCCACGTCTCTCATTGGACTTTGTAGACGGTTGATTTCCATCCATTTTCCTGTTTTCCTGTTAGGATCATGTGATATCTCATTTCACAATAGGCTTTGTAAAAATCACGTGACCCAAAAAAAGCACTGACTTACCCAGGGTGGGATAAAGGCTTCCATGGTTGTTCTGTGTCTTAACACTCTTTTGTTACTATTATGTGAAAACATAAGTTGTGTTGATATCTGGGGACATGGGACATTTTTGAATGAACTCGGTTGCTAACCAGTTTTACTGCCCAAGGGTAGGGAAAGGCACTTAGCCATTGCTAACTTATTTTACCAATTGACTGGATACGTGGATGTATTTATCTTAAATTATGTCTTTTCATTTCCAACTAGAATTAAATTTTAATGCCTTATGATCCACTATGGAAAGTATTTGTTTACTTAGAAAGTAGACCCTCGAGTTACAACTGTCCTGACATATGAACAACTTGAGTTACAACTGGAATTTTAGTTTTAACTTACAACCGAAGTTTTAAGTTACGACCCAAATGTCAGTGCTTGTGCTTCCGGATGGTCTCAGATACAGAGAACATTACAACACCCTTTACTGTGTGGGGTTAAGAGAGAAATCCCGGGCTGGTGTCTCTCTGAGGACCCTGAGGTCTTCTTGGGTACAGGAGAAGGACTTTGAAGGCTGTGGAGAGGAGCCTGAGCCTTCATTGACCAACGTGAGTTACAACCAATCCTTGGGACCAAATTGAGTTCCTAAGTCAAGGGTCCACTGCATTGTTTCTAAACTCTTCTGGTGTTATTGACAGACGTAGCAGTAAAATCATTGGTTTTGTATCCTGTTATGAAAATCTTTATTCTACCACTTTCCTTCTGTTTTCTGCCCCTCATCAGTGGTTTTAGGGAGACAGTGAAAGGACGTGCATCCCATTCTAGAGGTGCCGTCTGGTTTCTGGGCCCTAGTGCACCTCCTGGCCCACCCAGCACTGCTGGTCCTTTCAGACGAGGCAGTGTGCAGGGATGTGTGCAGGAGGAGGAGTCCACAGTCGAATCCACTGCTTCGTAAAGCTGTGCTTACAGTCCAGAGGAGGAAGGCTGTAACTTCGTACGCCCGTAGAGGGGCCGGGACTGGGAGTGGAGAGACCACCTGAGAGCCAACTCCGCAGGCCGCAGCTCCGCATGCCTGCACTCATTCTGCTGCCCTCAGGCTGTGCTCCCCGGGGCTGTCCTCACAGTCACTAGCTGTGGGTGTCCAGCTTGGCTCTGGATGCTTTGGGGATTTTTCTTTTTCAAATATTTATATATTTTAATGTTTTGCTGCTGTCCTAATATTTTCATATTCTGTATTCTTTCATCTGCTGCGATTAATCAGTAGTCAGAGAATCTTAAAGCAGAAAGAGGACTCAGCCATCAGTGCTCGGGCCCAGACCCATATCATCATGCACCCCGGAGGCCGGACGCGGCGAGGCCTGGCTCAGACCTACTCTCAGGTGCAGAACTCGGGCCCCTGGCTCTCGGTCCGCTGGGTGTGCACAGCCCGGTGCTGCCCATTAGTGCGTCTGCCATTGTCGGAGATTTAGGTTTTACCTTAACTCTAGAGTGAGGCTTAAGGGTGAAATCTCCAACTCTCTGCCTCAGGGATTTTCGCTTCTCAGTGCACACAAAGTTGGGGCTCCGACAGGAGTCTGGGAAGAGCTGTGGAGTGAGGGGCTCTGACCACGCATGGTGCCCTGATGTCCCGGCAGGGGCTGCGCCCGAGCCTCACATTAGGCCACACCGACCGAGGCACCCACCACCGCACAGGTCTCCCCCTCCTGCGCTCACGGTCATGTCACTGTGCCGCACCCCACTGCCAACCCCAGGACACAGGCCGTGCAGAGGAGCTGGCCCAGCCATCCGCGTGCGCTGCCCGTCGCTCACCTGGGCCTCCACGTCCGTCAGCTTCCGCGTCTGCTGTGCCGTCTGGTTCAGCAGGTTCGTTCCTATCTGGATCATGGCGGCCGTCTGATTCTGCACAGCGTTCTGCTGGAGCTCGGCCATCTGCTTCTTCATGTTGTCCTGGACGTAGCTCTCCAGCTGGGGAAGAGCAGGCGGTGGGCAGTGGGTGTTAGTCCAGTGACCAGCGCCCTGGCGCCTACGCCTTTGCCACCTTTTCCTTCCTTCAGAAACTCTGCTTGAAAACCTGTGTCTCGCCATAAAATCTTTCCGTTTCTTGGGCCGGGGATTTAGCCCAGTGGTTCTGGCGCCTGCCTTGCAAGTGCAAGGTCCCGAGTTTGATCCCCGGTACCCAAAAAAAACCCAAAAAAACTTCTAAGCCTGGGGATTTAGCTCAGTGGCACCGCCCTGCCTCACAAGGGCAGGGTCCTGAGTTCGATCCCTGTTCCTAAATAAATAAAATCTTTCCATTTCTTAACACCAGCAGTAAATTTCAGTGCTACTTTTACTCCAAATCTGGCAAGTTAGGACCTCCATATGTAGGAGAGACAAGTCTCACATGGCCTCTGCGTCTCTGAAGTGACACTGGAGATGGTCACGCTGCCCCAGGCACAGGGCAGGATGTGGGCGTGCGGCTTTGGACGCTGTTCTGTGTACCGCACTGACTCCCAGTGCCTGTTACTCGGGAGATGAGCATCTCAAGTTCGAGGGCTCTGAGGCAGCGTGAGGGAAGCAGCATGCTCGTAACCCACAGTTTCCTCCTGGCTCCAGCCATGCTGCTGGCCCCTTCCTCCTCACTGAGTTCGCTGGACCTGTTAATCCTTCCTAAGCTGTGTGTTTCCCGTGGTGTCAGCACTGTATAGACCTAACCATCCCAATCCTGCCTTGGCCCGTTCTTCACCCAACAGGAGACCTCTTCTTCCCTCGGTTCCTGAGCAAGGAGGACATGCCAGCTGCTACCACGTGGGTGCGGCTTGCCCCCCACCTCCCGTGCTGGGCCTCCCGTCTGTCAGTATGGAGAGGTGTCGGGGCCTGTAGGAGGGCCAGGCTATGTAGTGTGGTTGTTTCCTGCTTAGGGTCCCAGGGCCTCTTGGTGGTGCCGCTGAGGGGTCTGTGTAGGACTGTGGTGTGGACCCGAGGCTCAGTCTCGCAACTGCAACTCTGCGGGTGGCGGTGCCCTCCCCACCCCAGCTGTCCTCAGTGTTGGGCTGCCGTCTTGGTGGGGGAGACCGAATCGCCATGAAGCAGGACAACTGCTAGAGCTCTGGCCATTCATGAAATTCCGTGGTTGACACATTTACTACCCTACGTGAATCAAGATAGATTAGACCTTATAAAAAATCAAGTACTAGAACCAAGATCCATCATGTACATGTACAAGCACCCAATGATAAATGGAAACGTATTGTATACCTAAAATGTACCAATAAAAGAATTAAAGCAAAACAAAATCAAGTACTGCTGTTTCACAGTCTTAACAACCATCTCTCCTTTTGTAGACTTCCTAAAACCTCAAGAATCTGAAAGCCTATTACTGTTTGTCAGAACTAGATCAGGCTGTTTAGTATCTGTGATCTTAATGCATTCTTCCCTTCTTCTGCTTTACCTTTTAACAAATGCTGATCGTATGATTGAAATGCACTGTGTAAAAGAATTCACAGAGGCAGTTTGATTCTCACCGCCACCCCAGCCACCCTACCCGTCACCATGGGAGGAGTGGAATTTCAAGGTTAAAATTAAAGCTGTGTCATCAGAGGAATCGTCTTAGTTACTCAGCTACTCTTAACACCCAGCAAAGATAATATTTAGAGAGATTTACTCTGGGAAGTTTGGAACTATTAAGGCTTACTCCAGTTGTAGCTTAGTTTAAATCCATACCCAGAAATAATAATTTACAAAGTAATATAAATGAAACTCTTAACCTTCATTTTGATTTAAGTAGTTAAGAGCTAAATAAAAGTGATTCTGTCTTTTGTTATTCTGAATCTTATAACCAGAGGAGGAAAATAAATCCTTTAATATCTCCCTCCCACACTTCAAGCTACTGGGTCAAATGTGGTTACAGCTGTCAAGAGACATGAGAAGAATGTTTATTGTTTTAAAATTTAAAATCAAGTTCCAATTTAAAATTAGACTTGAGAACATTAAAAGACATACAGCCTGTTTTTGTTTTTTTTTCTTTTTTGGTACCGGGGATTGAACTTGGGACCTTGTGCTTGTAAGGCAGGCGGCAGAGCCACTGAGCTACATCCCTGGTCCATACAGCCTAATTTTAAAAAATAAGATTTCTTAACTTTATTTTCTAAGCTTGAAAACAATCCATTATCAAAATGTTTTCCGGTCACTACTGGTCAGCTATTCAGGATGACAGAGTATGTGTCTGTGTGTGTATGTGAGTTATTTTACATTGAAGCAAATTATACAGGTGTGTATAAATGGAAGGTGTTTTATACAGAAACTGAATATAGTGTCTATATATGGATAGTATCAGTGTAGATGGAATATGTACAGGCTTTGAAGATGTCATCTAAAAAAGTAAAATTCTGTATGACACAGGCCAAATTGCTGACTGGTTGAAGTCTTTGGGAGAAAAATAGAACAGAGGCAGAAACATCAAGTAGTAAATAGGCATTTTACCTGGGTATGAAAGACCTTGTTCTTACACTTGGGTGGAGGAATGAGAGTTTTCAGAGAACATGTGACCTGACAGTGGATGCTCTCTCTAAGAACAAGAAAGAGTACAGGCATTCTTCAGACAGTTAGAGCGGGGCAAGCCCAGCAGAGATTGTTGGAGGCTCTCGGTTGCTTCCCTGTGTCGGCTGCTCTGTAAATCCCTTCTGGCTTCTGGATGTCTCCTTGAGAGCTGGTGGACTCAGAAGCAAAATGTTATTTCCACATTGAGGCCACGTCACACTTTCTGCCCTTTCACAGCCAAAAGTGATGCATCTCTGAGTCAGCTTGGGTGCACCTTCCCATTCGGTGTTTCTCGGTGTCTTGGCAAACGCATAGATCACCTACCACTCTGTTAAGGGCCATTTTACCAACAGGATATCCTAGAATTAGAAATTACCGGTACCGGTTTTATCTCCTGGGAGCATCGTAACAAAAGGAACTGGTTTTATCTCCAAAAATCAGCACTAATTTTTAGAGATGGAAAGAATATGGATGTTCACAATATAATGTAAGAATGAGCATTTGCAAATGGAGACCTCCTGTTCAGAGCCTTCCCTTAAGTTCTGTGTCTCAGGCCCATGAGCTAGATGCCCACTGGCTGGTCGTGCAGATAGCAAACAGTACCTTGGCAGTTCCCTGTCTCTGGACTTTCCTCACTTCTTTTTTAGCTTGGTGCCCTGGAATGTCTTTCTGTTTAGTGTCTCTCTTATTTCTATTGTCTGTGGTTACAAGCCAGACATCTGCCCAACTCCTTCCTGGTGTAAGGAAGTCTTCGTATGCTGCTGACCAAGAGCCATCGCCCTGCAGTGCCCGCTCTGCTCTTCCGTTCTTGTCGTCCACACTTAGTGCTCTTAGCAGAAGCAGCTCCAGGATGCCTGTGCCTTGATTCTTTCCAGTCCCCTGTGTGTGGCTGCACATGTTCATGCCTTTCAGGGATGTCTGACGGCACCTTCTTACCTGATGGCAACGGTGCGGGACTGGGACCCAGGTCCCAGGTCCCAGGGCCTCTGACTGGGTCCCTCTCTCGGGTGTCCGAGAACAGTGTGGACTCCTTTCGTCCTCTTCTGACCGGCTGAAGCTCTCCCCTGTGGGTTTCGCCTTGAGCCGTTCCTCTCTTCTCAAGTCACAAACAAATTATCCACATTTAACATTGTGGGGCTGTTGCTACCATACACTGGAGCTGCCTAGATTGTTGCTAGGTGTCGTTGGATTTGCTGAAAAAAAGCTGCATTCCAAGCAGTCTTCAAAGCTTGGCCACACAGCAAAGCTCAAACAGCCAAGACAGAATATTTTAACACAGCATGAATGTGTGTGTGTACATGTACACAATTGCAAACAATTTGGTTCACAAACAGAAGCAGTCAGCACAATCTTGCTCCTGTTCAGGAGCTCCGCATCTGGTGACAGACACAACTGGGGGCTGTCTCTTCCCCAGAACCCTGGAACAAATTAAGTTCATGAACTGAGGTGCCACTGTATATGTATAATATCAGGTATATTCTGGAGTTTGTCAATAGATAAATATCCTGAGAGTTTTGTTATTCTAACATTTTGAATAATCCAATAGACAGGGGAAAGTGAGTCCATTTTTGAGAGCACTGTGACAGATTGAAGAATACACATTAAAATGTTTCTCTGGCCATCTTCCTTCTCACTACAGTTATCATCCTTACTGTTCATACCAAAAGAAAAGTCATCTTGTAACTGGCTCAGGAAAGGAAAACACCAGTCATGTGTGAAAACTATCCCCAACTTGGGATTCTGAGGCTGGTCCCTCACCAAGTGGAGATGCTGGTCAAGAGATCATTTCTATTTAAAGTTGGGTGTCCTCATCCCTTTTCATTAGTTTTTGTCCATCTGAGGAACCAGTTTTCCTAGAAAAGGTACAAACAGTTTGAGGTTTCCCTGGAAACATTTCTCTCTAGTGTTTCAGTTTATAAACGAGAGGTTGCAAGTGTTCTGTCTTACACACACACACACATACACACACGGGATGTTTTCTCTGCCCCAGTGGTCCCCTCCCACCTTCCTTCTGCCACGTCTGTGGTCTGGATCCTCATGCAGCCCCCGCCTGTCCTCCCATTGCCTCCACTTCAAAGTCAGAAGCCAAAGCAAACTCAGTCCCTCTGGGGCTCACATTATTCCCTGCACCCTGGCCTGTGCAACAGAGTCCAGATTCCTTCTCTGGGAAGCATACATTGTTAACCTATTTTTCATTGCTGTGACAACGTTCCTGGGGCTGCCACCTTGTAAAGAACAAAGGTTTCCATAGCTCACGGTCTGAGAGGCTGCAAGTCAGAACAGCATGGGACCAGCTCTGGCGAGGACCCTCCCTGGCTGTGTAGCATCCCGGTGGATGGCGCCATGCAGGAGCTCATGTCACATGGAGAGCTCACGTGGAGACGGGAAGCCAGAGAGACCAGGGTGGGCTGGTCTTGCTCTTCTGTGACAACCTTGTGGGGAGAACG